AAAAATAAAAATAAATAAATAAATGACTCTTCTCTTCAGAAGAGCTTAAAAACTTCACCTTGGAAAGAAAGACATCCAAATACACCAAATTGTTAAACCCATAATTCAGCTACATACAAACTCACTAAACAACCACAATAGAAAGCTCAATAAGAGACACAATGATGAATTCCTGATGCCAAGACACTTGAAGAGTATCAGGGAAGACTCAAGTGAAGAAATGCCATCTGAGCTTAGACTGGCAGCATACGCATATCTCAGAATGGTTCTTCCTAATATCTCTATATGTCCAGCTGGAAGAAATATACTGGTGCTAAGCCTTTTTATATAACTATTGAGCTGAACTGTGCTCACCCAAAAGTATGCCCCACAATATCTGTAAATGAGACCTCATTTGGAAATAGGGTCTTTGAAATAATCAAGATGAAATCAATTAGGGTGGGTTCCTAATCCAAAATAAATGTGTCCTTATAAAAAGGAAAAATCTGGAAGCAGAGAGACAGACATGCATACAAGGAAGATGATGAAGACACAAGGAAAACACCTTCTAAAAACCAAGGAACTCCTGAGGCAACTATACATTAGGAGAGGTATGGAACATATTCTCACAAGCCCTCAGAAAAAAAAAACTTGACATTGCATTTCTAGTCCGCAAAACCGTGATACTATTAAATCTCTGTTGTTTAAGCTACCCACTTTGGGCACTTTATTATGGCAGCCCTAGAAAACCAATATACATAGATTATCTTGCTTAATCTTCACATTATGAAATGGCATTATCTCCAATTTGCAGATAAACTGAGGATCAAAAAGGTTAAATCACAGTAAGAAAGACTAAGATTTAAGCCTGATTAATTCTGAGGCACCTGGGTGGCTCAGTTGTTTAGCGTCTGCCTTCGGCTCGGATCATGGTCCCAGGATCCTGGGATCAAGCCCCACGTTGGGCTCCCTGCTCAGCGGGAAGCCTGCTTCTCCCACTCCCCCAGCTTGTATTCCCTCTCTCACTGTCTCTCTCTTTCTCTGTCAAATAAATAATATCTTATAAACCTGATTAATTTTAAAGACCATGTTTTTTTAATATAACATTTCTTCCTTCAATTTTAACTGAATAAATATAGCCAGGACTTGTTTTCAAAGTGTTTAAAGCAAATCTAAAAACCAATTAGGTTCAAAATCTCCATTTCCATTCTTTTATTGATAGTAACTTACCATTTCAACAGTAAACTTTCCTGTATAAGCTTGTCACTACTATTTTTAAAGGACTGATACTTCTACTTCAATAACAATCAAGAAGTGGCTCTTAACAAATGAATAAAAAAAAAAAAAAAGAAGTGGCTCTTTAG